AGTAAACCTTCTTTGTGAACCACACGTGTCACAAGAGTTTCTCTGTCGAACGGGGCAAACCTTACACTAGAAATATCTGCTATTATCCTTTCCAACTCAAAAGGTAAATTTTGGAATAATTCATTACTTTTTGTCAAATAGATTCCTAAATATTTGACCTTCTTTATAATAGTATTAAACACTGTTTCTTGAAACAAGTATTGCTTTTCCTCCTCTGCCAAGTTTTATGTCTGCATTTGGGGTTTTTCTTTATGAATTTGGTAGCCTGATACAAATTCATATTACCATATACATTCCTTTTGGTCTTATGAACTAGTAGCATCCTTTTACAACATTTTAATATATATAAGTAGCTTTATGGGGAAATTTGTCAATGTTAAACATGTTAAAGTTATGTTGAATTATATTCCAAAACATGGAATTTGACTGTTTTTCAGGAACTGTGGCTATATTGGGCAGTGTATGGAAGATGACCTTGATAGAGATATGCAAAATCCATTGCCAGAGCAATAAGTGATAAACCATATTTTAAGTCCACAAGAGATGATATTCAGAAACAGTTCAGATAGATCCCTGTCTAATTCACTGAACTGTAAATAGTAGTAGGAGGTACAACATAATCAGACTTGCAAGATTCTGTTATTATTTTTATTTGCGCTCAGTCGTTACTGAATCTGCAGTGACTGCTTGGACGAGTCCTTTTGCAGTTTTCAAGGCAAGGTGTTTTGGAACACTTTCAATAAAAAGTAGTTTTAGCCTTTCTGTGTAGGTGATTTCTTGATCTGGTCTACCTAGTAGGGCTGATGGGCATGGGAAATTGCCAAGAAATTTATTTTGGAAATTGGATGAACGTTAAGGAGTGGATTGAGGATATGTGTAATTTATCCTTTTCTGAAGAGGTAATTTTTCTACTAAACATTAAATGATGCAATATGTGTTCCCTTGTACAGATTTCATGATATTTTAGAACAACAGAGTTTTATTTTCTTGTAATTCTGAAATTTTTATATTTTTTTAACAGTTGATATATAGGTGATATGCTTAAATAAGTTGTAATTTTCTTTTTCCTTTGCTATTTATCATTAATTATTCTCTCTCACTGAGGTTGGTCTTAGAAGTCTAAGGACTTCATCAGATTATTGTAAAGAAGAAATCATTCTAAAACCAAAGTTTTGATTTTCTCAGAGGGACTGCGGCATCATAAACATTGATGGCAGATAAATAGTTACTATGGACCAAGTCTCATCTTTCAAATACCTCAGCATAGCATTATAATACCCTGGAATCTGGTGGTAATAAATTAAATCTATTTCCAGTACGGGCAATAATAGTGCTAAGGATATACCTACCTTTTTCCATACTACAGGAGGCAAGAATATACTGACTACCCTAAGGATTTGGAAAGCTAAATCTGTTTCTCAAATGTTATATGGGTCTCAGATATCACATACAACAACCTAAAGTCTTTAGACACAATATACTCCAGATTCTTAAGAGTGTTATTCTGTGTACCCCACTGTGTTTCCAATGCAGCACTTCACTCAGAAACTGGGTTGACTCGTTTGGATTTTAGGCCCATCTATGCGGGCTCCATTTCTGGCTCCAGCTGCACTTTTCCAGTAATTCCCTGGCCACCACAATCCTTTTTATTAATTTCACTTCTTCTTGAAAAGTCAGGATCCCAAGTGATTTATGTCAGTGTGGTTTCTCAAGTAATGGTCTCTTAGCCCTGGCACTTTTAAAGGCAAGAGCTGCAAGCTGGTGGCAGGCATTTGACATAGCTCTCCAGGCAGACCAGGGCATATTAAGATCCTGAAACTGGCAGGATACAAACAGGAGACCTTGCAGGTCAGCGTACTATTTAGTTAACGTCACCTGCTCATCATACAGTAGAGATTTTGCTTTAGCCTGCTTCAGTGTATTACCCTCTGCAATATTGGAAGGAAGGTATGTCCTGTGATTGACCTGCATTTTTCAATTAACACCTGATAGAGAGATTAGTTAGCTCTTCCTATTTACTCTTGTAAACTGTGAGATAACAAACTTTTTGCTCTAACCGCATTAGCATCTGCTCATGTACAACTTCCAGCTGAGCACTGAGAGGACGGCAGAGAATGCAGGAGGTCACCTTGCCTGGTCACCAATAAAGTCCCAACCAAAGAGGCTTCACCTGCTGCCAGCCCAGACTTGCCAATCCTCAAAACTCATGCAAAGTGTCACCCAGACACCTAGAAGCTTCCTACCTAATTAAGACACATGAAAGGCATATCTGCCTTTCAATTAACATTTATATAAAGGGCAGATCTGTTAAGTAACAGAGGAAGTTGTTGGATTGGACACTGTGTGGTCTGAACTAGACTTGATGTGCAAATCCAGGCACAACTAGAGGAGGAATCTGAAGCTGTGGACTCAGCAGCATCAAGCAGAACCTGAGAGATCTGGCGAGTGGAGTAGCTGGTGGAAAAGACCACATGTCAGCTTGCTGGAAGTCCAAGAACCTCAGGAAAGAGTTATTTTCCCTTTTTCTATTCTCTCTAGGCTAAAAACAAGCCTGAGAAGTGAAAGTACTGAAGCTGTCTAATGGAATGAACATGTCAAAGTTGGGATAAGGAACACCTGTGTAAATTAGGGAGGCAGTTAAGAAGCTGTAAAAAGATCCATAAATTAATGTCTGAAATTATTAGAATTAGAATTATTAAAAATGCACATGAATTATTTACCTGTAACAATAAACTTCACTACAGTTTAGAGAAGAACAGCATGTGTGTATCTGGAAAGTTTTTCTCCTTGTGTCTGTCTGTCTGTCTATCTCTCTCTCTCTCACCAGCTGAGGATGCTATTCCAGATTTCCAGCAAGCTACTATTAGCATATCTGACAAATGAAACTACATTAATAATCAGAAACTAATTTAATAAAATTAGACTTCCAATAATTCCAATAAAAACCTATGTATTTATAATAAAAATCTTTTACAATAATACCCTATTCCATGATTAGAAAGAAATCCTTTAGTGATCTCATTAACTTACCAAGTGTTCTCTCTCCTTGGGGATCTACCATTTCAGCCATTTTCAGTGCTTCTGTAGTGGCAATATCAACATTACTTGGAACCACAATCAAATTTATGGTTTCTTGTTTGGTAATGTAACTTTTAATTAATTTCATGATCTGTAATAAAATTAAATTTTATGTCACTCAGAGGTAGAGAATAAAATGATTTTCAGTGAAGCTGGAACAAGGAAGTTATCTACTCCCCCAAGGCTACCATAACTAATGTATAAGGGGCACATATATAATCTGCAATTTACTTTGCTCCTTAACAAAATATTTTGTTCCATAGATGCTGCCATCTATGTAGAGGGTTCAATATCTGTGAAGGAATGACATTGTGCCCCTCCACTTTATCTAGACACTGGGTATCTTCTGCCCAGAGGCTTATACTGTATATCAAGAGCAGTCTCTGAAAAAAGGAAGCCTAACCAGGTTAACATTGTAGGCTTCTATGCAACGGGGTATCATGATTTCTTGGGTGTGTGTGTGTATTATTCTGTTCCATTAGTGTTCCAAGATGCATTAACTAGGCAGCATGAACCCAGCAGAATTTCTAGAATCCATTTATTGAACAAAGACCAGTTAAAGGCAAGACAAATTGTATAAGTAGTCCTTGCTTAGTGACCATAATCAGGACTGGCAACTCAGTCGTTAAGCGCCACAGTCACTAAGCAGAAACTCACATGACTATGATGGGTTTATAACCCTACTTCCCATATGGATGTTAAGCGAAGTGCCACAGTCACTAAGTAAAATATCACATGATGGCAAGTTATGACTTTACTTTGGCATTCTCTATTAACTCTGCTTGTCACAAGCCAGTTGCAAAGCACACACATGGTAATCACGTGTGAATGTCATAAATACAAGGATATTTTATATTTTACATTAATATTTATATTTATATTTTATAGCAAAGCTATGTTTTTTACAACCACATAAGCTTGAATGGTCACTAAACAAGGCAGTCAATAAGCAAGGACTACATCTCATTCCTGAAATGTGAATAGGTCTTTCCTGGCAAAAGTTAGCAGTAAACAATGCTTTCATATCTTCATGCTCCTAACTCAACTGATAGTCAGATACTTATCGCTCTAGAACATCTTTTTATTTTACCTGATCGCCAATGTCTTGTGGTTGATCATCTACGGCCACTCTTATAATTCCTGGCAGATCAATCAGGGTGAGATCTGGAACATCTGGAGAGCTAATTTCCAGGGTAATTAATTTGTTGCTAATGGCATGACCTTCACCAGCTATTGCATTCTGGGCTATATCGTGTAAGGCAGAACAAAGTAGCAGCTCAGTTATGGGAAACTCATACAGAGCAATTTGATCAAATCACCATTTGTTTTAAGGCATCTGAAGCAAACAGCTTAGCATATTTTTTTTTAAAAGCTTGTTTCCTGTAATCGTTTCAAGTAAAATAAGCATGCAAGTAGTTCTGCGTACTCAAACGTAACTCATTTCAGATAGTGTGCTAAGATTATTTCATAACACATACATTTCAAATTTTACAATGTGATATATGGATAATACTGGATATTATATTCTTAAAAAGCCAAGTTGGAAAGCTGTGCAAGTATTTAATAAATATTACTCAAGGGGCCTCCTACTGTGCTAACTCCTTCTACAGCATTATTTCTGTTTTCATAGCTATAATGAGATGACCTTAGAAACATGATCTATGGAACAGCTTCAAAAGGCAATGCTACCTAGCATTTATCATGATTCCCAGCAAAGCTGAAACATATTTCACCTTAATTTATTGTTGAAAAGCAGGATAGTAGTGCCTGCCCAGTGAGAAAGCAGAAAGCAAAAATAAAAGATCCTGTGCTATAACTAAAAGGAACGAATGATTGCAGCATCTGGCAACCCACTTGATTTAGTAGGAACATCTGAAAAATTGCAAGCATCGGCACGGATATTCTTGCAAAAGAGTTAGCACAGGAGGCACAACCAGTTACAAAATACTGCAAATTGTTAAAAAAACAAATACAAACTCCAACAGCAGACTAGAGAATAATGTTTCCTGTCACTTTCACTAGCTTTCCAGAAAACTTTTTCACCCCCCAAAATTTCTTTTTTAATTTTGGCACATTTCCAAATCAAGTGCTGAATGGTACCTACTTCTAGTTTTTATTTTCTACAAAAAGAAAAAGAAAAAAAAGAAAATACTTACGTGGATCCATAGACATTTCTGGAAATCAAGAAAATATTGGGGCTACTTTGCTTTGTAGCACAGCAACTTTGCCCTGATGTGTGCATGAATGTACATAAAAATAAAAGAACCTTGAAGAAATGAAGTTAGGTAGCATAGAAAATTGGTAGGCACTAAAGTAGGTGCCTGGATAATTCATAGCACATTAATAGAAGCATTTTTCTCTTATTGGTTTCTCTCCAGACCCAAAGGAAATGACTTACTGATTATGAAGTGCACTTGATTTTTCTGTAATTACTGCATAAATATATTTTTGTTAAGTAGCATAGAGATCTACATTTTCTAGCTGGTTTTCAAAATAATTTCTTCATAAGGCAGCTTCCAATATAAAGCAGTAACGTTCCATATCAAATTAATAAAATTAATCATTTAAAGCATATTGATTGACTAGTCAGATGAAACATAATTGACCAGACAGATGAAGAGCACACAATTACAGCAGAAACATAAAAATGGTAATAACATCATAAACAAAAGTAGCCATATCACTAAAAGACAAAACAAAAATTGTATTAAGGTGTTAATGTAGTGTAAAGGGATTAATTTGGGTTGTACAAGATTTGTCTCTGGGCCCTAGACCTCAAATCCAGTAGATGATGATCAGAGACCAGCAGTAGTATTGTTAGCAATCTGAATACAGATAGTCCTTACTTAATGACCATTCGTTCAGTGACCATTTGAAGTTACAATAGCACTGAATGAACGGTATTTATGACCAGACTCTATGACCATTGCAATGCCCCCACGGTCATGTGATCAAAATTTGGGCACTTGGCAGCCTGCCTGCATTTACAACTGCAGGGTGCACTACAATTCCCTCCACCTGCCTATCTTCCCCCATCTCTGCCCTTTTGGCTGCCCTGCCTTCCACTGCCCGTCACCCTGCATTCCGTCCTGTACCCCCACCGCCCTGCACTCCACTGTCCCTGCCGCCCCCAGCTGACCTTTGCCGTTCCACTGCTGACAAGCTGTGCCCAACCTGGCCATTTGCGAAGCAGCTGCTGGCCACATGCAGCTTTCCCAAAATCTCCTGAGGCCTTCCTGAGCAGGTGCCTCATGAAGGGTCAGGGCAGGTGCACCTCATCAGCAATGTGCTGATGGAGTGCAGGGCGATCATGGGAGGTGAAGCAGAGGAAAGCACGCCAGGGCAGGAGAAGCATGAGGTCCTGGCCTAATGATGGTGTGGTCCTGGCCTAACGATCCCAAGCAGAACTGCCATTGCTAAGCAGTGCAGCCATGTGATGTTTCGCCTAACAACCGCTTCACATAGTGGCAGAAATTCCAGTCACAATTAGGGTTCTTAAGTGAGGACTACCTTTACTTTTAAATATTTGGTGGTTACTCTGCTGTGCCAAATTGAACCTGGATACATACAGGTAGTCCTCGACCTACAACCGAAATTCATTCAGTGACCAAAGTTACTACAGTGCTGAATGAATGATGGTTATCACTGGTCCTTGGAGTTCCGGCTGTCCCAGAACACCCACGGTCATGCGATCATGATCTGGACACTTGGCAGCCCGTTCACACTTATGACCAGCTGTAGCGCTCCACAACCACATGATCGCCATTTGCAATCTTCCCTGCCAGCTTTCCCAGAAAGTCAATGAGGAAGTCAGCAGGGAGGGTCACAAGTCACTGGGGTAAGTCTCCCCCACCTGTGCACCCTCCCCAGCCCCCCTGTGCTTGTGCCAGCCACTCATGCACCTCTGCGCACCCTCCCTGACCTTCTCTGTGCCTCTTGAACAACCCCTTGCACACCCCCTGACCTGCGCTGCATTCTCACGCATCCTCCTCAACCCACGCTGCACCCTTGTGCAACTTCCCTGACCCACGCCTATTATGCATGCCCTCGCACCCTCCCCAGCCCTCCCCATGCCTCTGCATCCCCGCGCTCCCTCCCCATCCATCAGCAGCCACTTATCCTGCCTGTTGGCCTGGGACTTGCAACTTTCCACTGGCTTCCCCACTGACTTTAAGTTGTAGGAAGCCGGCAGGAAGTTCCCTTGCCTAACAACAGTGCAATTCGGTTAATGGCAACAACCGGGACTGCAGGCAATCCCATTGCTAAGCGAAGTGGTTCTGCTTTACACCTCTCCTTCTTTTCCCAGTAAAGATTTTAAAATAAGATTGTGGAAATATAATACAATTCAAAATTTCTAACAGCAGCAAACATGATTCAACTTTTAAATTAAAAGTCAAGGGGATTAAAGTCAAATATCCAATACAATCAGAAACAATTTTTTGTTTAGAAGTGAAGCTGTTGAAAACTACTAGAGTTTTCTTCATTCTACTTCTAGCCTTCACTGCAGTTACAGAACTATTGGAAGCTAAAATTCTATATATACTGATCATTTCAAGGGGGGAAAAAACTATGTTATGTTGTCACTGAAAGTTACCTCTCCTAACTGCAGCTTCTACCTCTGATGGGTCTTTCAGGTCCGCCTCTGTTTCTGGATACACAATTTTCCCTTTCCACTTTGTGGGATTTGTATTATGTGTTTTTTTCAATTTGAGCTCCAAGGGACATCTGGTAACAATCCCTGCAACATTAAAACATTTTTCTTGTTTTTAAAGATATTATTTATTTTATTAGATATTTAAGAACACAGTCAAGAGAAATGGAGAAGAAATAGCTAGTAAATATACAAGATATACAAGTATTATTAGATAACAATTCAAAGTAATATTAGTTCTGCATTTCAAAATATATTAGATCAATTTAAAACTTCAGATCATTATTAAAATCAAATCAGTATGTAATTATTAGTAATAACCGGTAAAGTATGTATTATAAATCAGAATTATAAATTATAAATCAAAATTAAAGATTACACTAATTTCTGCCTAATGTAACTATTCTATCTGTATTAGCAAATCAAACAAAAACTTATGAAGTAAAACCATAATAGATGCCCAAACTTTGCATGTAGCACAAGCCAGAATGTAGGATTATAACAAAGAAACAGATTCCAAGTTGAATTGAATTCTGTATCAGATTTGTTTTTCAAATGCTATTTTTTCATCAGTGCTTACTCTCACAAGTATATATGATTTCCAATAAGAAGCATAAAGCAGCAATTTTATGCAAAGAAGCATACTAGCAACTGTTGCCATATACAAAATATACTGTATTTTGGATGAATGTGAGGTTCAGTAATATTTAACATAAAAATAACTGGTTGGGAATTTAAAATGTATTCCATTCTATTATAGATCATCTTCCAGAGTTGTTGGGCTTTATAGCATTGCCACCAGCCCAATTACTGGATTTCCAATGTTTTTTTAGAGAATGATTTTAGCAATCAATACCATTGGTAAAATATCATGTACCAATATTCATTTTATTTTTTTGGAAAAAGAATATAAGATAATGCAAATGAAAAATGTTCCATATATTCTGAATGCCACTCAACTATGTGTTAGGTGGTAGCTGTCCTTAGGTATGATTTAGAAGGTTTTTTGAATACACATAGAAGCCATCTAGTTTGGAGAATTAGCACAAACTTATTTGGATTCAATTGCAGTTAATATGAAAATAATAAATAGGAAAATAAGTAGAGAATAGTTGGGTTTATATATTCTGATTAGAAAAGTATGGAAGTCCACATTTGATCCTAGGCTCCTCAAGTTTATAAAGCTAACTAAACATCTCTCAAAAACTTCATTCCAACTTAAAACCTGCCTAAGTCAGGGGGTTCTCAAGATGCACTACAAACCCCATCTCCCCCAGGTACATAGTCAATGGTGATGGGAATTATAGTCCAACACATCTGGATGGTACCAGTTGGAGAAGTCTGATATTCAGAGAACTAAAGCTGTGGGGAAATTCTCACCAATGCCTCTAGGAAGGGCAACTCCAGACAAGGCCTCTAGAACTGAACTTTTCCCAGAGCTCTGATCTCCAATCACAGCAATTGCTGGCAATGCCAAGTCCTTTTCCACTCCAAGGGCTCTCAGCGAATCAATGAGGTCAATACAGGGACGGACCTTCTCCTCATACTGGCTGCAAAAATTATTTTCTGCTTCCTAGGGAAACAAAACAAAACACAAAGTTGCCTCCTAGGCTGACAATGGAATTTATTCTTCCTTAATCTGGACATGTCAGATGAGCTGAAACTGTACTTCCCAGTACTTTTCATGAAAAGAATTACTGATACAGAACAGGTAATATGTTGTTTAACAAACTATAAGATTGCACCTTACAATTCTTTGCTTCATAAAAATAGTGCCTGTCAATTCAGTTTATATATAGGTTCCTCATGAAGACAATCAATAGCTTTGTGAAAAATATGGTTGAACATGTGAATTCACAAGAAGTTGGCTCCATGTGTTTCATTCTATGGGCTGGTTTACATGTTGAACTTCAGCATGGAATGAGAAATGTAAAGCACTGTTAGGAACAATTAAGCTGGTGACTCAAGAAAAAGTACAGGTAGTCCTTCCATACCCAACCTTCATGCAGCATCTGTTCAAAGTTACAATGGTAGGGGGAAAAAAAATTTTTGGGACCAATCTTTGCACTTATGACCATTGCAGAGTCCTGTGGTCACATGATCACCATTTGGGCATTTGGCAACTGGGGCACATTTACGACCCTCGCAGCATCTCACGGTTGCATGATCACCGTTTGTACACTTTGCAACTGGCTTGTGACAAGCAGAGATAATAGAAAAGGCAGAAGTAAAATCATAAGTCATGGTCACGTGATTTTTCACTTAGTGACTGCAACACTTCAGTTAATGACCAAAGGGGAAATATGATCATAAGTCTGTCACAGTCACATGATTTTCCACTTAGCGACCAGGTTTCCAGTCCCAGTTGTGGTTGCTAAGCATTAACTACCTGTATAGCTTTGCTGTCTTTAGCTTTTTAGGGTTGTATATTTTTCCAGGTATGATTTTATATACATACTACATACCCATTGGGTCATCGTTTCAGAGATATTTCCTTACCTAAACAGAGAAACAGAATGAGCAAGAGAAAAAACTAAAGTTACCGGTGGCGTGTTCTAGCTCTCTATACTCAGAGCCAGATCCATGGCGGCCCTGGCTTTCGGCTGCTGCTTCTTAACACCAGGTCAGTTAACAACAAGGCCCCCTCTTATATCCTTTGCTGCATGAGCTGCATTGGGTCCCAGTTTACTTCCAGGTCCAATTCAAGGTGTTGGTTATCACCTTTAAAGCCCTACATTGCATGGGACCGGGTTACCTGAGGGACTGTCTCACCCCCAATATATTGACCCATCCCACCCTGTCAAGCAGAGAGGGTATGCTGTGGACCCTGTCAATGAAAGAATGTCGACTGGTAGGGCCCAGAAGGAGAGCCTTCTCTACCATGGTCTCCACCCTATGGAATACCCTTCCCCCACAGGTGAGGCAGGCCCCTATTCTCTTGACCTTCCAGAAAGCAGTCAGGATCTGGCTTTGCCAACTTGCATACGGTGAGAAGAGAGGCAACCAACCCTGGAGGTGGCTAGCACCTTGAAGATGCTTCCATATGTTAATATCTTTTCGATCACCAGCACCTTGGAAGATACTATTATTTATGTATGTATTTGGTTTTATTGTATTTTTA